TGGAACTCTCTGCCCCGGAGTGTGGTGGAGGCTCCCTCTTTGGAAGCTTTTAAGCAGAGGCTGGATGGCCATCTGTCAGGGGTGATTTGAATGCAATATTCCTGCTTCTTGGCAGGGGGTTGGACTGGATGGCCCATGAGGTCTCTTCCAACTCTTTGATTCTATGATTCTATGATTCTATGATTCTATGATTTTTTTTAGGGTAAGTCAAAATACCACATATATATATATTTATTTATTTTCTTCTGTTTTCTACCACATGCTCATATTACATTGACCATGCTGAACTCTGCTTGACATAGATACCAAACATTCCTACATATGGCACCTGGCAGACCACCAATTAGCATCAAAAGAGCACCGTGTTAATGACAGAGATCCTTCCATGTCCTGGCACAGCTGAAGCAGCGTGTTGCTTTAAGAACTGGCATGACTCACTTCTATACAACACCCTGTACTATCTAAATATAACTACATCGCTCCAATTCAAAAATCATAGTCTTTTTTGGCATTGTTTTGTTTTGGCTTCCAGTCACTTCAGTGCTGGCTTGAATAGATTCATGAGCCAGCTGCCAAACATGAAGGGGAATCAAGATTTATCCTTTGTGATGGGCCATTTTATTCAAACAGATCTTCAGATAAAATGTAGCTTGTGCTCCTGGATTTATGAAGTAATCTGGCTGGATTGAAATACAAGTGAATGCAGAGATGCATATCTGATATTTAAATGCAAGACAACACTTATGTTATATATGCACTATATGTGGATTGTATGGATTCACATTTCCACTAGAGGCGTGTGAAATGCCAAAAATTCACTTGGTTTCAAAAAACAAATTTGGTATGCCCCATGTTGTTTTGTAAGTGTTTCTAAACTATCTTGAAGGGTCTGTTTCATTTCAAATTCAAAACACCAACATTTGTTAATATTTTGTTTCATTAGTCTGTCTATTTGTGCCAATGGGAACACTTCCAGGGCTCGTTTGTCCATCCTTTTTATGGCTATCAAGATGACACTTGCTACACTTGTATGACACATTTACCACTGTAAGCCCTCAAAGTTTCCAAACATTTCACTCATCCACCGATCTTTGGAAATTTTTAAAATGTTTTTACCAATAACATTTAAAAAAAAACTACAACATGGATTTCTGGGACTTGAAGTCCAAAACAGCACCACATGAGGGGTGAAGAATGGAGAGGAAAAGCAGCCTTGTGAATGGTCGAGAAAGAGCATGTGAGCGTCATGGGGGAGTTTTTATGTCCCCTCTGGCCCTCTGTGTCTTCAGTTTCTAGTCCAGATGTTTTTGATTGGCTGGGTCCCCTCTGGCTGCTTGCCACCCAGTCCCATCACCCCAACCATGGAGAAATTGTTTGTGCTTGCAAAACAAATGGTCAGAATTCTAACAATACTTACAAACTTTTCCCCGAATTTCAGGTGGTGCCTGTTTTGTTCTGTTTGGGTTCAGGGGGCATCAAAATTGGGTTCATAAATTGAGTTGTAAGACACGAATTTTGCTGAAATTATTATGACTTAGGAACCCTGTCCAAAATTTTGCACAGCTCTAATCTCCACACTCTCCTTTAAAAGTCCCTGATAGTTTCAGAGTTTCTTAGGAGACAGGAACCTAACCAATATAATTTCACTCCCCACTGTTCAAAGAAATGTTCAAGTGAAGGCTGACATCTGCACTTGGTAATCATGAGAACTACTGTGCCCCTAATACCTCAAAAATGTCTGACCCTATTTAAGAAAATATTTTCCAGAGCCATAAACTTGGTGCAAAGAACCTATTTTCCTGTTGGGCATCCTTGTTGCCCTTTTCAAAAACCCATCATGGTCTGCAGTAGATATGATCTGCATCAAATGAAGACAAAATGAGATGCTCTTCTTTCAGATCTCCCTGTAGGAACTCAACTTTTGTACTTGGCTCTTTCTTGAACTCACTAGTTCTCATGATGATAAAATCATAAATAGAGACTTATTTGTCATGCCTATCCTTTATTATTCTTGCATCTCCCACTCCTCTTTTGCTTATAAGGAACTTACAGAAGAATAAGCTTCAGGTATAGACAGGAGTATGACAAATAGCAAGCAGCCTTACTGTTAGAAAGAGTGAGGTAGTCATCTTTGGCAGGTGATTTTGGGTACACCCAAGTATTATTTAATGGATCATCCTTATAGCTTTACTAACTGGACAAAGGAGAGATGCTGGCTGTAATTTCTACCTCAGATGACAAGATAATCTGGTTGGTATTTGGACTTGTGGCTTATGATCTCACTGCTGAAAGATAAATTGATCCATGTTGGCACTACACAACTTGATGTAAGGATCTATTGGATATTCCACCTCCAATATGAAAGATTCTGTAGCAGTTCTAACAATATGGAACCTGCAATACTAAGAGTATTGATGGCACTATAACAATGGGTAAAGTACAGCAGATCGTAAGCTATCAGCATAATCCAAGGCCACAGAAGAACAGAAAAGAGTAGGAAGGAGAACCATACGAAGAACAAAATTTAAACTGGTTGACTCACTTGGAAAACACTTGTGGAAATTCCAAAGATAGCTCCTAATGATACCATCCTATCTACTGAATGGCGCGTGATTAATTTCTAGTTACGAAGCAATTATGTTGTCTTTTCACTGTGCAGAGATCTCCAGGAAGCCCGCAGTGAGTTTTGACTATCAGCAGAGAGAAAGGAATTTTGTATTAACAGCTTCAAAGACAAGAGGAAGTAATTTGCACTTCTTGTTTTGGATGAGCTCTCATTTTTCTTTTTCTGGCACATGTGCAGCTGACTCAACAGGTCATAACAGTCCACTGATTATGCAGGAGCTATATTTCATTTTTCCTTCATAGGCTGTGTATTAAGGGTTGGGGTGGAAGCATGATGACACATTTTATCTCACACTGGTACTTTGAGATAGAGAAGTCCCATATTCTTTAAGAAGTCAAGCTCATGATAAAGGACTCAGTGAATGTCAACAGTTATAGTGTTTGTGGGAATGCTAGAACAAAAGGGACAATGGAGATCAACCACTACCAAAAATTATGTTAATTGCATGGGAGCTGTACTAGGCTTGTCATTGGATGGTTTAGACCTCACTTTCCTTTGTCCCTTGGCTATTTTCCAACAGTCCCCTGTTGGAGAAGAGACCTATATTCAGCTCATAATGGTTCTGGAAGCCTGAAACCATGGTGGCCTTCAGCATGGATATGGCTTTGTAGACCTCAGTCCCGCCAAAATAGGAATGAAATTCTTTGCTATTTTTCATCTCAAAGGAAGTATGAAGTAATTTCAGCCATTTTCTTTTCACTGCAAGGAATTCTTTGAACATTGTGCAGTTTTTGAAGAGTATACACAGTTCGATAACTTTTCTGTGCAAAGAAGAAATGAAAAAATCCAAAATACCTGGTTGTTTTGCTAATAAAATAATATTTTTGTGCAGAAATAAGCTTCACATTCTTTATAGAACAGAATGTATAAAAAGGAACAACAGACACGTGTGAATTTTGTGTAGAAGAAGTCTGAAACTGAGAAGATTCTAATTAGTCCAGGACTTGTTCTGCAGGGTTTCTCAATGTTTAAGGAACATGTTTTAATTATATTTCCAAATATTCTCTTGTCTCCAACTCCAGGCTACCTGAAGGGCCACTCCTGATAAAAACAAGAGAGAGACGAATTGCCTTCCCTGGAATCCTTTAGGAGCTGCTGTTCATCTTTGTTTACAGCTTCTCCAGAGTCTCCAGACTCACGGAGAAGCATACACAAATGAGATAGGAAGGAGGGAGAGAGAATGCCCCCTTTTTTTTCAAATATAGAAGTAGGTTTCTCTCCGTATACAGATTTTGGGGTGAGGAGTACGGTATATTTCTGGCATTCTGTACTCCAGGAACAAATATGGGTCCCATCCAAAATGGCACCAGTTGCCCTAAACAAGTGGTTCTCAATTTGTGGATCCCCACACAACTCCCTACAACTCCAAGAAATCCCAGCCAGTTTACCAGCTGTTAGGATTTCTGGGAGTTGAAGGCCAAAATATCTGGGGACCCAAAGGTTGAGAACCACTGCTCTAAACTAATTCCCTTCCAATGTTACAAAGAAGGGCACTCCACTGATCCATTGCCAGTGCTGAAATAAGACACTGTTTCAAATCCAATTTCCTTCTGAGTACAGAACTGAGGAAATATTGGAGTCTAAATATAATAAAAGCAACAGATCCCACCTAACCGTGGAAGCTAAGCAGAATCAGCTCTGGTTTGGATGGGAGACCATCAAATAATATTAGGTGCTATAGGCTATATTTCAGAGGAAGGAGCCGCCAAAATCACCTCAATATTTCTTGCCCAAGAAAACTCAATGAAATTCATGGGGTTGAGATAAGTCCACAGACAGCTTAAAGGCACATATACAAACAAGAAATGTTTTGTTCTTTGTCTCATGCAAAAATGTCTTAGGATTGCATTGGATTTGGAAAACCCATAGGATTGGCCTTACTGATGAAATGGCCATATATAAATATGCACGAGAGTGGATATAAAATAATAGTTTCCAACAACATTGTGGGAGTATATGTAGAAAGCTAGGTGACCAGCTTTAAAAAAAAGTGTATCGTGAGAATTTTGTCTATTAGACTAAACAGTTTTCAGTAGCAGGTTTTCCCATCATTGGCTTATGATTGCATTAGTGCTATAAGGAGGAGAAATACTATGAGAACAGAAGGAAAAATAGAAAGAAGATAAAAGGTAAAGATCTAGGTAAAATTGGTCATGATTATATCAATTCAGAATAATCTGGTTCCCATCTTACAGTCTGGGATACAATTTAGATTTGGAATTTCAAAAGACGAAGGCTACCACACCCTTCTGATATATTCCACTTGATGAGATACAACACAATGTGGAATGGATACCTCTTTCCCTTTTATTTTCCCCACTCCCACAATGAGGAAACCCATGTTTCTAAAACCTCTTAGATTAGCAAGCATTACCTTAGGGTTTCTCCAGAAGATCCCCTCCTCTTCCACAGGTTGACCAAACTGCTTGACCGGCTGGTAGCAGAAGAGGACTTCCCATCCCCAACATGCATGCGAACCACGGTTGAGGTGGTAAATGCACTGCGTACATTTCTCTCTGGCTTGGCAAGGATGATGTACACTTTTGGCACAAACATGCAACCAAGGGCTACAGTGGCACTCAAGCTGACTGAAAAACACATAGTGATAATCTTATAGTTGCTCCCAAAATAAATGGGGACAAAAGCCAGCCAAATGATGCAAGTAGTGTACATGGTGAAAGCAATGTATTTCGCTTCATTGAAATTTGCCGGAACATTTCTGGTCTTGAATGCGTAGAAGGTGCAACTTAAAATGAGCAAGCCATTATATCCAAGGGGAGTCACGACCCCCAGGTTGGTGGTGTTGCATATCAGATATACTTCTTGAATGCTTGGAAAATCGTGCTTGATATTTGGGGGCTCCATTATGAAGAGAGCCACAATGATGCCCAGCTGGACGCCTATTAAGATAAACGCTATGACCAATTGGGCACAGGCGCTCATGAATCGAGGTTTCTTGGTGCAGATTTTCTTCTTGCTGCCAGCCAGGATCCGTGCAATCCGGTTGGTTTTTGTCACCAGAGCAGAGTAGCTCATTGCAGGGGAAAGACCAATGCCAATTCGTTGTAGATAACAATAGATCCTCTGAGGTTTTGCAATGAGACAAAAAGTACACAGGTAGCCCAAAAATATCCCAGCCAAGATGATATAGCAGAGTTCTCGGCTTGAAGACTTGACAACTGGTGTGTCGCGGTACAGGATGAATACAGCTGTAACAAACATGGTGGCCAGGAGACCCAAGCAGGCAAATACGACAGCTGCAATTGGCTCTGGATCACCCCATCGCAGATACTGGACTGGGATTAAATCACAACCTGGTATGGAGAGAGAAAAAGAGGAACAATCATTTGGTTTGCAAATAATGGTATTTTTCAGGGAATAAGTCTATTAATCAGGCAAAAGAGATAGCATTAACAGAACCTACAAAAAATTAAAATGGAGGCAATATTAAGAAAACATGGCTCCCAGGATTGTTTGGATCCCCATTTGCAGGTCTAGAGGATAATGTAAAGATAAAGAAGGTCTGCAACAAATTTCATCAATGGCTCAATATGGTTTCAGGTGGAGGTCCTTCAGTTTCTTCTCTCACATTCACTTGCCAGCTACAGTACATTATTTTTCATGTCTTTCTGGTCACTTGAAACACTTTTGCTGCTCACAAAGCCATTGAGGATCAAAAGGGTCTCTCTCTACCCTCAACCAATAACCGATCCATTGCATTCACCATTCTTCTAGAACCTATCTAGCACGTATGAGACTTCAACCTTATCACATGAGGAAGGTGGTGTCCCAGTTCCCCTGGCTTTGCCAAAGAAACAGAAGGGTAGTGAAGCTAATATGTCACCCCACATACTGTTTCCTCATGGCGACGCTTCCCCCATCACATGTGGGAAGTGTTGCCCAAAAACTGAGGATCTGTACTGGCTCCATTGGAGCCAGCACAACATGGGCAAGCTCCTATGTTGAAAGGGAAGTGTCATATGTGTTCCATTCCAATTGTGGGCGGGGCTCTGCTGAAGTCCAGCAACAACGTGGGATGGGCAGCATTCCCATCCATTGCTGAGCTGGTGGGGATGCCCTTCCAAACACTGTCTGATGTGGTTGTTATTGTTCACCTTTGTGACCAAACTGTATGAGTCCATTTTTAACAGAGCCCTGAAAGGCTTTTTTCCCTTGTATACAAGGTATGAGGCAACCAGCAAGATATGGGGCAACCAGGGGTGAGTTTTGTATCATACCACTGAGTGCCAAGTCTGATTTGAGAAAGAATCTGGTCTTGTTGGCCTTTAGAGTTATCCAGCAAAGGTCTCAGGGTTGTCTGAAGACATTTTGCTATCTTAGGCAAGGGAGAAAGTGGGCATCTTTCCCTATTCCACATATAGGGATTGAATCATAGAATCAATCCCTGCCACATGCACAATGGAGGACCTCTTTGCAGCAACACCAGAGGCACTCCAAGTGGCCAGATACTGGTCAAAGGACATTTAATCAACTACCAAGCTTGCAAACTTTGTGTTCTGTTTGTTTGTTTGTTTGTTAAAAAATGCAATGCAGCTGTTTGGTCTGCTCCTGACATGATAAATAAATAAAATAGAATCATTGAGTTGGAAAAGACCTTGTTGACCAGATTTCCAGTTAAAAAGTAGTAATGGAATAGCATCCTGCCATCCTCCCTAAGGGCAGTCTCCAAGGGGCTGCCATTGCTTTTTTCCTGGAATGTTCTAGCTGAGGTTCCTGTCCCACCATGCCCTGAAGAGCCAGCCCTGAAAGGTATCCTTAAGTGGCAAGGTAGTTATTTCAGTGGGAGAGAGATAAAAAGAAAACCAGATGCATTCCATCTGGTGAAGAGATGTGAAACGTAGTCACACATATTCTTGGCCTCATTGAGCCAGGAAGTGTCAATATATCACAACACTCCATAAAAGCAGTTATTGTTGCACTTCAGGACTTTTTCTTTGATATATTTATTTGCAAATCTGCTAAGATTTTCTGCACAAAAGTCAAGATTTTCCCTTTATTTTTATGCAGACAATTGACTGGTATCAAAAATTGGACTGATGCTATTCTAACTACTGGGAATTAATGTTCACAGCCAGTAACACGATTCCCAAAACCTACCTTCACAGCCCAGCAGCACCTTGACCAAAATGATTCTATGGTGCTGGAGACTGAAGTGCTGGCAAATCATACCCAAAATGTGCTCCTGGTTGCAAGGTGTTTTGGGACAAAGAGTTGTGGCGGGATGTCAAGGGATCTCTCAGTTGCCTGTCCTTGAGTCACCCCAAAACCAAAACAAAAATTCCCTTTTGCTCCAATCTTTAACACTCCAAAAAGCTTCGGTTGGGATGCCTTCAGGATGTGCAGGTATTTGGGGTGGGGGGTGGGGTGGGGTGGACATAATCATGATTTATTTCTTATTTATTTATTTACACTATTTCTATCCCACTTTTCTCAAACCTGAAGGTGACTCAAGGTGGATTACAACCTGGCAACCATTCGATGCCGTAACAATATGCAGCATATAATTTAAAATATTTAAACAGATTTCAAAAAACCATACAATAAAACCATTTAAAACATACAGAACCAATGCCTTCAATGTCCATTTCATTGTCCAAAAAACATCGTCTAAGCCATTCCACGGTTCAGTTCCATATATATCCGTATTAGTCTATTACATTGCAGTTTCAAAGGCTTGTTCAAAGAGCCAGGTTTTTGCTTTCCTCCGGAAGGCCAGGAGGGAGGGAGCCGATCTAATGATGGAGCTCTGTCATCACAGTCATGGTATTGATGGAGAATATCAACCAATTATATTGCAAAAGAACTCTCATAATAAGAAAAGCTAACCAAATACTCATCTAATCACACCTAGGATATAGAATGTTTTTGATATTTTTTGCATGCTGGCTCAAAACACACATTCCAACTTCTATGTCTTATGAATGATTCAAAAGACCACTAACCAGGTGCTTTCCCCAGGTGGAACTGCAATGTCTGTAGAGAAGCATCTTTACCTACATCATTTGCTTACAAGTATTTATTTTGAATATCCTCCTTGGAGTGACTCATCCTCCCACAGTTCCTTGACTGTGGTCCATCTGGTTGCCATCCAACGACTCTTCTAAGCCTTGTAGTTGCCATAATCCCCCTTTCCACAGCTTCCTGTCAAGTTCTGCTAAATTGATAGGCTTATCCCCAAAGGTTAAATCATATGATCATTGGCCAAACATTAAGCTGCTTAAAAATATTACCTATGTTCTCACATTCCATTTGATTGCTTTTATAGGATAATTGATAACGGCAAACCAACCACCTTTCATTTTCATGATTAAAATTGACACATGCTTTTCTAATCACACTTGTCACAATGGGTATGATTACATTCTTCATTAACAGTTGACTTTTGCCCTTGCTCCCTTTGAAGTCTTATGGAGAGGCTAATCCATATAGCCATTCACTTCAGTATTCAATTAATTGTTCTACCACTGCTGTGAGTACTATGACAATGACGACAAAGGCATTTCTATAGCACGATGAAGTGCTCAAAGACTTTCAGATAAATGTATCCCACTTCATATATATGATGGGTGCTCATTTCTGTGTTCTAGTGCAAATATTCCCAGGCAAACAGTCTTATGAAAATAAGCCCTACTTTGCATTGAGCACTGGATGGAGTTTCCCTGTTTGCAAAGAGATTGGGATTTTTGACATTTCCTCTTTTCAAATGACCCTATGAATATTTATGTCATGCTATGCAGGGAAATGATGATTTGTTGGCTTTTAGACTACATTACTACTGTTAAAAGCAAAGGGTCTTAGAAAGAACTTTTCAACCCTTACTCATGTTTATCAAATAATATTTTGATTAGTACCAACTAATCACGTCTAATATTTTTAATACCAGTTGTAGACCTCACGGAGGTTATTTTCACTGATTTGAACCAGTTCCTGTATTGGACATCTTTTATAAATCTCATGTTAGTATTGAGATATAATTTTTTTCTAGTTTTCTTCTGAAATAACTTTTGTTTTCTTTGCCAGAAAATCTTTGGAAAATGGGAGTTGTTGGAGATTATTCACCGTTCAAGACTCATTCTTTGTAAAATTCACACGTGGCATTTTCTTTGCAAGAAACACCATTTTCTATTATTATATCACAGAAAACAATGCTGTTTTCTGGACAAAACAACTTGGTGTGAATTTATTATACAGCATACTCTGAACTGCACAGATTCCCATTAGTCCAGGATTCCTCTTGTCAGCATTTCCTGACACAGAAACATGCTATTTGAATATTTTCCAAATATTTTCAAATGTTATTTCCATTCCTTCTTCAGAATATGACCCATCTGTTAAATGCTGACTCACACTCATGTTTGTTTATTACTTACAGTTGTGTATATTTACTTTTAAATAAAACTAGTACGATGGGACACATGGAATGGCATTCTCAATCAAGCATCTCATATCATGAGGACCAAATGTATTGCCTAAACCAGCCATCCCCTGCCATGCGTTGCTGTGGTCCAGTCTGTGTATATGTGTTTTGTGTGTATATATACGTGTGTATATATTTGTGTATATGTGTGTTTGTGTGTGTGTGCGTGTGCATGTGCGTGTGGCTTTGTGCATGCATTGTAATGTATTTATTATTTCTTGGCTTTTTAAGTCCCTCCGCTGTAATTTTCACTGTTTTTATGAGTGATGGTCACTCGTTTGCATCGTGTCCAAATTTGGTGTCACTTCGTCCAGTGGTTTTTGAGTTATTTTAATCCCACAAATGAACATTACATTTTTATTTATATAGATCAGTGTTTCCCAACCTTTTTTGACCAGGGACCACTCTCCAACATTAATACCAAATGGGTTACGAATTAGTTTTTGCTCAACTTTAGATTCGGTTTGGGGTGCCGATTCAGAAAACTGCATTGGATAGACCACATCAGCTCTACCTTCTGATACAGAATATATGCCATTGTCAGTGACAGGGAAGGAGTGGCAGGTGGCATGAAAGGAGTGGAAATAAAATAAAATAAAATAAAGAGGAAGGAGGCTCGTGGACCAGTTTTTCGTCCTCTTGGCCCACTGGTGGTCCACGACGCACAGGTTAAGAACCACTGGCCTAAATGAAATTGCTAGTTCAAACTTAAGTACAGCATTTGAATAAATGTGTTTTATTTATTTATTTATTACCCACATTTTTATCCTGCCTTTCTTCTTCCAGAGGGGAACTCAGGCGGCCTTTATATGTTGACAGAACTGAGTAATAGAATTAATAGGTCTACTCTACATTGATTGAGATGTATTATATATT